AAATGGTCAAATTCAACCATTTCTTTTTGGTACAGTGACTCTGTGTATTCCTTCCATCTTCTTTGTTTTTTTGTTTGTTTGTTTTTGTTTTTTTTAATAAATGTTTTATAGTGAATTATGTGAAATTTACATGGGAGAACATTAGTTTTACATTCATCCTATCATATATTGTTTTATTGCCATGGTTACAATCCCCTCCATGCATCATCAATCAACCAAAGGGTATATCCTTCCTGCCCCCCTCCCGCTCCCTTCCCCCACCCCGATCGTCAGCACACAGCCCCTCTCCCTCTCTGGGTCTAAAGTCCCCAGCTGCTCCATCTCTCCGCGTCATCGTCTTTGCCTCCATCTCAGGGATCACTGCTTCTCTGGGTAGGGTCCTGCTCTCCACTCTTCTCCCTTCATGGTCCCAGGGACCCCCGATCCTAGACTGCAAAGTTAATCACTCCTCTCCCTGCTACAAAACGTCTACCTTTACATTTACAACCCTCACAATCAGTCCTGATAACAATTATTTACTATTGTATCACAAGAGACCTATACGCATTTCCTTTCATCAGTCTCGTCTAGACAGATTGGCTACTACTCAGTGAAGATTCTACCTTCTTTCATGCCCTCTGGATCTAGGTTCCCTCTTGAAAGCTTGTAAGCCAGCCACTTCTTGCCTTTGTAGCCCCCCCATTTTAGGTAGCCAATGTCCAAGTTGCCCATCCCCATCTACTCTGTGTATGGAGGTCAGTTGTATCAGATTACTCTTTTTTCCCTCTTTTTCTTCTTCTAGTTGAGCTCTAATCATCCAGTCATTGAAGCCAGGTTAAGTGGGTATTATCTGCAAGCGTGGGTGTTCTTGTGCATATGCCCTCCTTCCATCTTCTTTTGATATTTTCTGCATCATTCAATAATTTGCCCATAGAATCCTTTAATAATGAAAGTTGAGGCTTGATTTTTTTCTTCAGTTTCCTCAGCTTGAGAAATGCTGAGCATGTTATTCCTTTTTGGTTTTCTAACTCCAGGTCTTTGCACATCCATAGTAAAGTTCCAGTTCATCAAACTGCACCAATTTACACTTGCTTCCTTTATCAAATTTCTTTATCTTGCTCTATTCAAGTTCTGATCATCAAACCATCGAAGCTAGGTCAAATGGGTACTATCTGCAAGTTTGGGCATTCTTGTGCGTCTCCCCTCACTTCATATCAGCTGGATGCTTCACTCTCAGCTCTAGCCCTTTTGGCTAAGTCCTTGTCCATGGGCTTAGAAGTCCTCAGGTCTCACCACATTTTGGACCAACCAGCCCCTCCTCTTCTCTCTCTCGTCTCCAAGTCAGTGGGTGTATATGGAATGTGGTCAAACTCAGGCCATGTCTTCAATGCTTTCTTTTCCCCACTTCCACTTACCAGTAGACCAATGTGATCACTAGCAAGCTTACATGCCTGCTTGTGTGTTCCCTTTGAGTTTCAGTCTTGGAGGGGGGTTTATCCTAAAGGGGCTTGATTGCTTGCCTTGGTGGCTCCTCAGCAAACAACTTGCTTGTTCTTATAGTAGCCAATCAGACTGCCATTTTGTTTCTTATTTTTCCTGCTGATCTTTCTTTCAAGAAGTATCTTCTGTTCTTCTAGCCACTCCAGGCTGGTCTGCATGTCAAGGCCATATTTTCCAACAATCAATCCTTCCTCTTTGTTTCCAACCTTTGCAAACACCAGAAATTATCAATATGTTTTGATTGCATATTTGAGCAATTTCAGACTGAAGAAGTTAATAGAATTCTTCAGTTCACTGTAAGATAAGCACTTAACTGAAAGATCAGTTGAACTGCAAGACCAGCAGTTCAAACTCACCAGCCGCTCTTCAGAAACCCTCTATAATGTCGCTTTGAGTTGGAACCAACTTGACAGTGCTTAATAACAACAACAACAGCAGCAGCTTTAATGGTTGGTGCATAAATTTGAATAATAGTGATATTAACCGGTCTTCCTTGTTAAGGGTATCAATAGTATCCAATCACAGACAGCATTATATTTCAAGATGGATTTTTTAATGTTCTTTTTGACAATGAATGCAATGCCATTCCTCTTGTTTTGATACTCTCAGCATAATAAAGCACATGGTTTTCCAATTCTAAATGGCCAATACCAGTCCATTTCAAATCATTAATGCTTAGGATATTGATCTTTATGCGTTCCATTACAATTTTGACAACTTCCAATTTTCCTAGATTTATACTTTGTACATTTCATGTTCTGATTATTAATAACTGTTTCTCCTCATTCTGATTTGTGTCCCATCATCAAATGGAAGTCCCCAAAACTTTAATCCATTCATGCCATTATGGTCAACTCTACTTGGAGTCCTGTTGTGGAACAATAGGATAAGCACTGGACTGCTAACTGCAATGGCAGGGGTTCAAACCCACCAGTCTTGGAAACTCTATCCAAGGTCACAATGTTTTGGAACTGACTTGATGGCACTTAAAAACAACTACTACTTTGAGGATGGTGCTCTTGTCAGTCATATTTTGAGTGCCTTCCAACCTAAGGGTCTCTTCTTCTGGCACTATATCTGAGAATGTTCTGGTGCTATTCATAAGGTTTTCATCTTCCAGCGCTATATCTGAGAAAGTTCTGGTGCTAGTCATAAGGTTTTCATCTTCCAGCACTATATCTGAGA